GTTTTTGTGGGAAGAGAGATTAAAGAGGTGATATTAGAAATATACATGCAAGTTTAGTTTGTGGACTTTGTGCAAGTACACAGCCTTAAATTAAATCCATAAATTAGAAAAGTTGTGCAGAATCTTATAAATCTATTTATTTCAGCATTTTTGCATTCCCACTCTAAATCCCACAATTAGCCAGGAAGTGAGAAATAAGTATGAATGGGAGAGAAAGAAAATTGTTTTAAAAAAAAGTCATACTCTTAACAGAAACATCAAAATATTGGTGGAAGAAAACTAGAGGTGGCTGTAGTAGCAAAAAACTAAAAGAAGTAGTAAAGCACCAAATAGTAGGGGCAGAGGATGTATAAGTAGCAGAGTATTCTACAAGAGCAATATATATGTAGGGGGAGAAGACAACATCGAGGATGAAGTGAAAAGGAGGTGAGCACCATGAGAAAAGAAACAGCTGGCTGCAAGCACTGTGGGGCGGCAGAAGTTACTTAGTGGGATTGAACAGAGAAAGGACTTGGGGAACCTTTGGAAAGTTCTCCGCCCCCAGTGAAGGGAAGTGACACACTGGCTCACCGATGAAAGGAAAGGAAAGGGCGAGGCAGGCAGGACAGAGGATCTCAGACTGCTGCTCCTCTCACGGTCATTTTTAGAAGATCAAAGAATAGCTGTGTTCTGGGAGGACCAGAAGGCCTTTGATGTAGTGGTAGTTTTGGCAAAACACTACAGATGCAAACCAAGGGTAGAAGAAAATATTAACCCTTAGATTCAGGATTTCCTAAACATTCAAACATACAGAGTATGACAATCATTAAATAATCTCAAGAGCTAACAGCAAGATTTACTTATTGATAGAAAGCATATTGGAGAGACACAGACAGCGAGCACACACTAAAATGGATGCACATAATCTTTCTGTGAAATGCATTGGGCATTGTCACCCTTCCAATTCTTCCTTTAAAATGGGTGACAAATCATAAAATTTATGCAAATGTGAGCCTGCTACTACAGTAGAAGAATCTAATAGCTTTTACATTGCTGACTGTGTGCAGACAGGTATTTGTTTTACTGGTATTCAGAACCTTACTTTCATTAACATAAAATACGAGTTACAATAAAATACCTAAGTATTCATAGTGGAAAGGAAATTCATATTAAATAACAATTTTGTAGAATACTTACAGCATTACTGGAGTTAACCTAGATTTATGACATTGTAACAAAAAATTGAATCATGTCCAGAAAAGTCTGATCCAAGTATTCTAAACAAGTGCTAACTTCAATTCTGGGTTCTCTACTGAAAGCAGCAAGCTGTCTCATTGATCAAAGGATAGAGACTGCATATGTTCATTGGAAGAGCTTCAGGACATGGCTGATTTCAAATTAAACTTCCCAGCCTTTTATGTCAATCTAGTACTACTAAAGCGGAGGAATCTGACATGCAGTTTATGTTCACAAAGAACGTGATGTAGTTTAAAAGCCTGTTAAAGTCACAAGCACAGCATCGTAGCAGTGTACACTTTCAAAATGCACCCTGATCTCTTAATGAGAATTGGATACACTTCCCACTGTAGCTACATCTGAGAATATGATAAGATTTTTTCCCAAGAAAATCATACACCTTTCTCTAAATAATATAGTCAAATCCCGTATGTAAGAACTAAGCTACGCTCAAGTATAAACTAAATCACCTCATTTAAAGATAAATCATATTCATTCTGGCAAAACATCAGACTACATAATTGATTAATAAAGTAATCAGGAAAACTACTTGTTAATAGCTATGTAATAATTAAATTAACTTTATTAAACAGTATTAAACCAAAACCAGAGCCAAACAAAACAAATAATCTCTAGGCACTCAAAACCTCAGTTTTGCCTGTACTTGTTACTGCCCTGGCCCTTCTCATGAATTGAAGGATTATTCCAGAATACACCCTGGGTTCTTCAGCTCCTTTTAAGGAGAAGGAGCTAACAGGGCTCAAAGATGATGCAAGAGACCCCCCTAGTTTGCTGGAACTCACAAATCATCAAGCTAGATTAAGCTAGGCCTGGAAAGTTTTTTTACTCAGAGCTCTGAAAAGAATATGCTAGGTTCCTGTAACATTTCTTTCCCTTTTTTTTTTTTTTTTTTTTTTTTTTTTTTTTTTTTGCCTATGTTCCCAAGTTCATCATATGGCTACTACAATTCTACTAGAAAGTGCAGGAAGCAGAAGTTAGTATATAATAGAGAAAGGGAGGAGAGTGAGCTACCAAATATATCTCTCAAATATATATACATGTACACATTCTTAGATGATTGCATAAAATGGTTTGTTTAGGTTGAAAGCTTAATTTAAAGATTTTTAAAATGCATTTACTGTTAGATGTACATGTCTTTTCTGTTGCTTAAAAAGGTATGTGCAGGGAAGAAATCATTTAAAAAGTGGCTGCAAGATGCTTCACACCTGTTTAAATCTCAGACAATTCTGTACTAAACTTCATCTACTCCTGTGCAGAGCAATTTCTTCCTAGTATCACGCACAATAAGAATGCTGTGGAAGAAAATGCAGATGAGATTCCTAACCCAGCCATCCCATGGTCTTGCAGTTTAAAAACAGCTCTGGAGACTTGATGCTTCCTTAATGTATTTCGTATAGCTTGTATATGTTTGTGTTCTGGCTTTTCCCTCTCTTGCCCCTTTCTGTATCTTGCCCTTTGCCAATCTCATGAAATGACACCTTTCTGCCAAAATTCTTCTAAGAAAATGATTTTTCTACACAACTTAAAACATTTTTTTTTCTCTAAGGATTCTGTTTGAATTTAAATTTAATACCTTACATCTCTACTCCATTTCCATTCTCTATAACCTGACACAAATCACAAAATATGTGACTGGTTGTACTTTTCTGATGTTGCACTCTAAGCACTCAAATAACAGATGATGAATGCACAAACATATGAGTATCATGACTGTTATGTCCTCATTGTTACAAAAGCTGCATAGATATACAGCTATCTAGACATACACTCTATAAATGTAAGGATTCTTAAGGATCCCTTAAACAGCAAGCCTTATTCATTCTTTTCCTCAAGGGCCTTTCTACCATCCTGACATATTCACTCCATGTATTACTCTGTGTGTATTTTCTTTTTAAGAAGAGGGGGAGGGGAGAGAAAGAACACTATCGTCCTCAGAACTGGAGCAGAGATATAAATAAAGGTCAAAACCACTTATTAAAGTATTCACTATCGGCTACCTAACATCCAACTTTTGACTACACTTAGCAATATATACAGCTGGAGCTCCCACTGAATTTAGCTATTACTAAAACTTTGCATTTCTGAAAATCAGGCCTCAAAAGTCACAAAGTCAGATACCCAAAAAGTGAGGAAACAAAGTTACTAACAGTCTGTGAAAAAATTAGTTTAAGTGATTTGCCTGACATTGCAGAGGAACTTTATGGCAAAAGTTAAATGAGTACCTTGGGAGCATTTGACAGCCTTAGTGATGACTATACTTTTCTCGCCTGCAACCTCAGGGCTTAACATTACACATATTCCAATGTCAGCAATAACAAAAGCAGTGATTGATTTCAAGCTCTAGGATTTGGCATCACAAATTTGCTTTCAGGTGTTACCTCCCAACTTGCATTAAGAAAGAAAATTATATTATATTGACGATAATCATCATCATCTTCTACAGGAATCCTTCTTAAAGTAGAAAAGATTAAAAATATAAAGACTCTAGAAAAACTAGAAACAAACGCCCCAAAATATGGATTGAATTTGCATGACGTGCTATTTGCAAGCAATTACTCTCTGCCTGTGTCAAATGGCTCTGGAAGCAGAAAGGACAAGGCATTTGCAGGCAGTTTAACTCATGGTTCATGAGAAATGGATGGCAGTGGATGCATGCCTGACTGGTTGTCATGCAAGAAAACCATGAATAAGAGATGCTCCTGAACAGAACTAATATTCTGGCAACATTTTACACTCACACAGCACTATATGAAGTGCCAGGACACCGAATTTGAGCATTAGCTCCCTACTCCCACAAGGCAGGAGTTCCAACACTGCACTCTGATTTACAAAGGGCCTTTTATAAGTGAATGCAAGCTTTTAAAAACATATTGAATATATTTTAAATATATTTTTTGAAAGCAGAAGCTGTTTTCAGAGATGTACAGACAATCAGGAAGGATAAAACAGTAATTTGCACAAGCAAATTCTAAAAGTTTTTATTTGAGGCCTTGATATTGTCTCAGGATTCATTTCATTAGATTAAATTTTCTGGATTTCCAGTGAATAGAAACCATGTGCCTGAGCCATACTACTGTGTGATGTGCTACTGGACATTCTTACATAAAAGGAAAGAAGCATGGTTCAGAAATGCTAGGGCAAGTTGAGACCCATCTCAGCCATTCCACCTGATAGATTTACTAGCTTGGGACATCTGGATAATCCAGCTGCATTCATGGCATGTACATGCATGAAGGCTTTCATCCTTCCAACTTTGTATCTTATTAAATGATGTATAATTAATCATTAAAATGGTATTCCTTCATGCTTTTAGTTGCAGTGTTGATGTAGGCAGATGAACTGATTCTGTCTGCACCTTCCTGTGTAAGCACGTAAAAAGTACATGTAACAGTCACTGAAATTATTAGATCTAGCATGTGAAATTCGACCATTAGAAGCATTAGCAGTAGAAAAATAACATCCCTTGTATGGCTCAGATTTACAACATTTCTCTTCCCAGGGATGAGATGAGGATTGAACTGTCCAGAAAAACTCCAAAATCACACTGTATTTCATATAACTGGTGATCAAATACTGTAGCAAAAACCTACACAGAAAAGCGCGGTGTAAAATTATCACATGTTCTCTTAAAAGTAAAATGACAGTTATAAAACCAGAACTACAACCTTTTTTAAAAAAAACACATAAAAATAATATTTTTCTTACTTTAGAAAAATTATCAGCAGTGTCACTGATTGGTTTGGAAAATAATTTAAGAAACTTACCACTTCTAAGGCCATAATACGTTCCTAAAAATAAGATATAAGATGCCATTAGAAAGCAAAGAATATAAATGCAACGTAAGTTGAACAATGATGAAAAGGATTAATTTTGTCTTTTTGTCGGTCATACATATGATATTTTGTAAAAATCTCACTAAATAAGAACTGTTGTACTTAACTGGACCTCTGACCCATTTATCATACTGTCTCACTTAGAAATTTGTTCCAAAGAAACGAAACTTCCCAGCAACAAGGTGAGAAAGGATTTGAAAAAAAAAAAATCTACTCCATGATATTTTTTTTCCTAATAATACCATTAGGTTTCAATATTGTTGATTTTACCTCAATGTATCCCACGTTTTTTGGTGGTGGGTTTGGTGGTTTTTTTTGATCATCCATGCCTGTAAATTTAGGATGTTTTGGAATTCATGTCACATTAGCATCTGGATTAGTTTTCTTTTAGGTATTTCCTTAGACAACTAAAAAGTAAATTCCATATCATTCTTCTGTTATCCAGAAATAGCTCTGAAGAATGTTTTATAAATAACGATATCAAATTCTAATATCAGACAAAAATAAAATGCAAATAAAATTAGCCTGTATCAGTTTTAATCCAGTACAAAATAGAGAACCAAGCATTTATAAACGTACTGTATATATTTTAACATGTCATTTCCATTTAAAAGTATCTTTAAGAAAAATATGAAGCTAGTAAAATAAAGATCATGTACCTCTGACACTATGTCTTGACTAGGTATGATAATTTTAAGTAATCTGAGAAAACACACATTTAAGTGTTTAGGTGAGCCCACATTTAGGGTTCTTGACCATTAAGACATTACAGGAATTTTACCTTGCTCAAATGCTGGTTTTGAAAGTATGGGAGAGAGGTGGTATGTTTGGGTTTGGTGGTGGTTTTTTCCCTAGGAATCCTTATACTTTTCCAGTTCTATCCCCTCCAACAGGTAAAAACAATTGCAATAATCTGAATTTATTCCTGTAGCATCCAAACACAGTTAGACAAGTCTGAACAGACTTCACTATTTTTGAAGCAAAAGGTACAACATAAATTTCTTAGACTAATGGAAGAATTTGGAAGCCAGAAACAGTTCTTGCAATTTGCAAGAATGCAAAATATTTTTGTTTTTCTTAAGACCAAAGAGAAATGAGTTACAAAGACTCTTCTAGACTTATTACAGTCTCAAGAAAACGTTAAAATAATGGTTATGATTAGTGACTGAACAGGTGTATGTATTTGTGTAAAACCAGTATTTACATAGTGTGTGTATTTATATATTTGTGTAAAACCAGTGTCTCTTGGATTACTAAAGAGCTAACTTTTACTCATATAACCTTTTGAAGAAAATACAGTTCACCTAGTGAAGTGTTTAAAGCTCATTCACTCAGTGATGTTTGGGGTGTAAATGTTGGCTTTCATCAGTTGCTTACAATAGATGCACCTTTGATTACAATTCTAAACCATTGGCAGAAAGTGAGACAATATACTGTAGTAAAAATAACTACATCAATGGAAGCTAAAAAAAAAAATAAAGCATCTGGAACCGACTAATTGGTTTTGAGGATGTCCAGAAAAAACAAGCAAGATTGTTCAGGAAAGTATGTACAAAGAAATATTTAAAGTGAAATCAGGAATGCACACATAAACAAGTCTGATGTAAATCTAGTACACTATCAAAATACAACTGTTTAAAAAATGCTAATATACTGCCAGTAGTGGATGCCACTAAACTGGCTGATGTTGGAACTGCACACACAGTGTTCAAAACTTCCTGTGTATAAACCAATGAAAAATAATAAATGTATATAGAGAAAAAAAATACCACTCATTGCTTTCTTTTACAGAAGTCTTTCAGAAAAGTAGCAGGTTTTTTTAAAAAAGGAGACAAAAATGTTAACTCTTTTTTTTTTTTTTTTTTAAATGGAGGATGACTTTATCCCTAAGAGTGGGGAATCAAGAAACTCAGATAAATCTATAGGAAATCTGAGACATGTATTTCACCTGTTTTCGTTTCTTATCAGTAAATCTAGAATATGATGTTCTAGAAAACTTAACTTTGACTTGTTTATGAAGACGTGTTTGCTTAGTACCCATCACAATGCATGATAGTTGGGGATTCCAACTACAACATTGCAAAACCAAGACTTTACTGGATTTCACTAAAATTTTTTTCTCAGAAAAGGTAGTGCACTAAATACTGAAGTATTCTTTCTTGGAAGCAGGTATGAGATACAAAGTAAGTGTTTCAGTACATCAGAACAAACTTATGACAAAAAACAAAAAACTCAAAAATATTTGAGATGCTTGTTCCTCCACAAAATTGCAGTGGCTGTTACAAACACTCATACTTATGTAGAGATTCTGCAACAAACCGCAAACTCATTACTATCAAAAAAGATGGGAATTACACATCTCAAATTCGTGGTGATAGTGAACAGCAATTCAGATATAAATTTCTTCAAAAAACCTAATGTATTAAAGAAGACACATGATCTCGTTGTCAAATTCTAAACTCTGAATAAGCTTTTACAATCTCAGCACATAATTTTCTGAAGACTAGCATGTAATGTATTAGGAAATTTACCATGGATAAGTTATATATTATCAATATATTTAATACTTTCAAGTTAAGATTCTGTATTTTATGCTTAATTTTTAAATTTATATTAGCATGTCACTAACTTCAAAGCAAAGGAAAATGGCTTGCAAATGTTTTCCCAGAAAGAACCCATACAGTTGATTATTGCAATTATCATGCATAGCGTATTATTTTCATTAATGCAATATTTTGTACCATGGAACAGTTTTCACAAACGGCAAGGTGAAAACCTTATAATCAGAGCCTTTTTTCTTCCAATGGATTAACAAGTGAGGTTATATATGTGGCTATCAGAGAGAATGTAGAAAGTGATCTAGACTCTGCACAAGCTAAAAATTGTCTTACGGTGAGTATGAGCACACGTGTAACAACTGAAAGCAAGTATACATGTAATGAGAACACAGATATTATCTAGAACATATATAAAACTTTCATATACAAATTTATGTATAGCATAGAAACTCTAGTCAAAAGTATGCAACAAATTCAAAATGAGAAACCAAGAACACGGTGATGTCACCCAAAGCATCAGCCTCCTAGCTCCCAAAACACCCTGTATCAAAGAACTACACATAGTACATAGAATTTCCATCCTGACATGTGAGAGTCAAATTCACATAGAACGATGTAGCTATAAAGATGCCCACTGTGTACTTAAAGTATTATTTTGTCTTTGTCATGCTAGTTGCAGTCCAACACATTCCCTGACCAGAGGAACACATGAAAACTACTAGTATTTCTAGAACAATCCTCATAAAACTGCTTTATCTTTCTGTCCTTTGTGGTTTTCAGTTGACAGCATTGTAGAAGCACTAATTGTTTTTCATTCAAATTATTTTTACCACAAGGTGCTCTTTGTCTCCCCTCAAAAAATTAGCTAAAATTAAACTAAAAGCATAATAAAACATACATCCTTAGCTCTGGGGAATATTCTTGTTACTTGATGCAGAGATATAGCAAAAAACCTCATGGTATCTCCAGTCATCATTTGCCCACAGCAGTACACTGTTTTCTCACAGAAGGTTTCTTCATGTCTCCAGCTTTTCTAAGACTATGATCAATGTTCATGGCTCAAGTAACAAGAAAATTCCTTCAGCCATAACAACTTCATTGCTTTCAATTGTCTGTCCATAGTCTAAAACACACAATATTTCTATGCTTGTTTGCTGAATGTGCTTTACACATACGGTGTGTTTAGACTGCAAACAAAACGCATCAAGGGTGGACTTACTACACATAATTTTCTGTATATATAAAGATACTTACCAAAACGGGACCCCAGGTATTGTGGACAAAAATTAACAACAATCAACATGACCTATTGTCTACTGAACCAAGGACTAACTGAGTAGGACTTAATATCAGAGAAATACTATCCAAGGACTGTAGGCCTTGGGGCAAAGAGTACTATTTTATTTGCTAGTGATCCTTAATTTGACAAACAATTACCTTCTAGGAATCTACTTCAATAAAAGTATTCCTACTTTAACCAACTATACACATGCTTTGCTGAACTGGGGCTGAGAAGAAACAAATATTCCATGTCACCTGGTTAACAAAAGGAGAGAAGTGCCAGTTTCAGCTCTAGGAAATGTCATATTTAAAGAAACACTTTCCTCTTACTTCCTATGCATTATATGTTGAGATGCAACAGCTTAGAGAGATTCAGTCAGGATGACACAAGTTTGTTTTTACAACTATTTGCTAGCAAAGTTGCACATATTCAGCCACTGAAAGTTTGGAATACAGTGTTACAAGAACAAAGGAGCCTAGACTGGGAACATTTTGAAACATATTGACTAAGCTGGACATAATAGTACCTCGAAAAATAGATGTTTTTGCTGAGTACTTTGACTGAAGCCATGGGCATCTAAAGGAGCAAAAAAACTGCTATCAAGCATCTGAATACAAAAATAAGTCACAGCACTACAAGTCACAAACCTGATCAGAACCATCACTTAGGGAAGGGCATAAAGCATTTCAGTCAGGAACTTGACAGACCATTAGAAATACAGGCAAGCACATATATGTATACAAGACACCATTATGATGCAACTGTCTGCAGTATAAAATTACTCCTCATTCAATCAGAAGTAACGTCGTTACAACAATTTGTGAACTACAGAGCTTCACATGAAAGCAGATGCAGAATTGCTTCACATGAAAGGAGATCTTTTTACATTGATGTAACTAGATATGCACCTGTGTAAACTGCTTGCGCAGACAAGCTCTCAGCGTTGTTGAACTTGAGCTGCCAGAAAGCTAGGCCAAGATTTTTGTTTGAACAGGAAACAGCTGGATTGGCGTGTTGTGTAACTTTTGGGTCTTGCAATTTTGTCTATTCTTACTGGATCAAACTGTTTCTACACTAACTCTTTGATACCTCTAGCCCTCAAAATGCCTTCTATTTAGTATATGAAAAGAGAAGGCTTATCTTCAAACTCATGGTCAAAACTCAGGTCAATACATTATCTCATTTTCCTTAACACCCTTCTCTTCATTAATTCAGAGAATAGTTTGTGTTGGAAAGTACCTTAAAGATCATCTAGTTACACCCCCACTACCATGGGCAAGGACACCTTCAGACCAGGTTGCTCAAAGTCCCCATCCAACCTTACCTTGAACACCTCCAGGGAGGGGGCAGCCACTGCTGCTCTGGGCAACTTGTTCCAGTGCCTCACCGCCCTCACATTGAAGAATTTCTTCCTTACAGCTAATTTAAGTCTATCCTCTTTTAGTTTAAAACCATAGCCCCTCATCCCATCACTACATTCCCTGATAAAGAGTCCCTCCCCATCTTTCCCGGAGGCCCCCTTTAAGTACTGGAAGGCTGTTATAAGCTCTCCCCAGAACCTTCCCTTCTCCAGGCTGCACAACCCCAACTCTCCCAGCCTGTCCCCATAAGGGAGGTGCTCCAGATCCCTGATCATCTTTGTGGCCTCCTCTGGACCTGCTTCAACAGTTTCATGTACTTCTTATGTTGGGAGCCCCAGAGCTGAACACAGTTCCGCAGTTGGGGTCTCACAAGAGCAGAGGGGGAGAATCACCTCCCTTGACCTGCTGGCCACACTTCTCTTGATGCAGCTCAGGATACAGTTGGCTTTTTGGACTGCAGGCACACATTGCCAGCTTATATTCAGTTTTCCATCCACTACTAATCCCAAATCCTTCTCTGCAGGGCTGCTCTTAATCCACTCCTCACCCAGCCTCTATTTGTACATGGGATTGCTTTGACCCATGTGCAGGACCTTGCATTTGTCCTCGTTGAACTTCATGAGGTTTGCACAGGCCCAGCTCTCCAGCCTGTCCAGGTCCCTCTGGATGGCACATCCCTTCCCTCCAGTGTGTTGACTGCACCACACAGCTTGGTGGCTTTGCATTGACAAACTTACTGAGGGTGCACTCAATCCCACTGCCTGTTGCCAACGAAGATGTTAAACAGTGCCAGTCCCAACACCAACCCCTGAGGAATGCCACTCATCACTGCTCTCCACTTGGACAATGAACCATTGACCACAACTCTTTGAGTGAGACCATCCAGCCAATTCCTTATCCACCGACTGGTCCGTGTGTCAAATCCTTGTCTCTTCAATTTAGAGACAACCATGTCATGCAGGACAGTGTAAAAAACTTTGCACAAGTCCAGGTAGGTGATGTCAGTTGCTCCTCCCTTATTCACCAGCATTATAACCCCATTGTAGAAGGCCACCAAATGTCAGGCAAAATTTGTCCTTAGTGAAGCCATGTTGGCTGTCACCAATCACCTCCTTATTTTCCATGTACCTTATCATAGTTTCCAGAAGGAATTCCCTCAGAAATGTTCTGATTCCAGGACACTTATATAATGTTGCTTCATTGATAAACTCTTCATATTGTATAAACTTTTTTATATTCATGTTAGGTATTGTTAGATGTAATTTGTAGATAAAATTTTCTTTTTTTCCTTTTGTACTCTAAAGAATACATACACTACCCACCCTGATAAACTGCCAAGCCTTACAATTTAGACAGTCCAGCTTGGTTTTGCTTTCCTATCCATTTTCATTTCAAAGGAGTATTTTTTCTTTGACTGTAATGCTTAAATACTATTCCAAAATTTAGTCTAGGGTAAATCTTACTTTCCAAGTGCAAATTTAAAGTGCTTAGCACAAACAGCTTTACTGCTAGATGTATCGAGTCCTAGTATACATCAACTTCTTCCTCAGGAAGGTGATTAGGGACATTTAATGTTTCAGAGATTTAAAATACATACTTAAAATATTTCACTTTTAGTTTTATTTGGAGATGCAGAAGAAAACAACACAGCCCAGAAAATCTATCCCAACCAATGAAGTAGAATATAAAACATTTTTGCAGGTCTGAGTGCAGATTTGACCTGCCCCTATTCACATACTGTTGCAGTGAAGCCAGCAGTATAACGTAACAGAACAACTTCAGTATATAGTGTGACTTAAAAGCAGCATTCTTTTCACTGATGGACTCATATGAAAACACTGACTACTTTAATCTCCTCTAATGTGCAACTGAATTGGCGGGCAGAAACTCAACAGTGAATATTACTAGCTAGCAGATCTGTATTTGGCTGCATGTATTTCCAAAGCTAATTTAAGATAGAAGGAAATTCAGAAAATTGTAATGTTGTAATACAATTTAGTAATTTTAAGGGTGACAAAAAGTCTATCTAGTTAAATAGAAAGTATACCTGGAGAGCTCCCATTTCTTCCTCTCTTCTGAGGGTCTTCTCTAGTAGCTCTGTAAAATGAAAAATGGAACTTGTAAATACAACTTCCTGTCTCATGGTCTGATGAAAGAAGTATTGGGTAAAACAGTAAGGTTAGTTTTTTTTGGTTTAGGGCTTTCACAACATTTCTTTTCAGCTGATTAAAGTTATTGATGAAATTTGTCAGTGATATGATTCTTTCCAAGCATGGGCTGTTGAGGTGACTGAAGAACAGCCACAAGGAGACAGTTTGAATGGAGGAAAAACAAGCATTCAAATTTACAGGAAAACTTGCCCATGCTTAAATCAATCTTTTTGTGCATTTTTAAAAAATATTCTCTCAGTTTCAATACATGGCTAGAACTCCTTGGTGCTTCACTTGGGGTGGGAGAGTTTTTGCAGTTTTACCCTCAGTAAATGACAAAGGAAGCTCGCTAAGAGAAAAAGAAAATATAGTGTCGTGGTGGAAATGTGAAAAGGTTTATGATTGTAGCAATGAAGATTTAATAACTCAAAGAATTCCTCCTTTGGCTGCTGCTCTGAAATTTGGATGTTTTTGTCAAGTTCTTAAAAATAATCTCAATGTAACATTTGGGAACAATCCTGCTATGATCACCTTTCAGGCCTAATGTAACCACAGGCTTCTTGAGTTTTTTCAAAGTAATATATCATTATCCTCATAAGGTACAGAACACATCAATTTATACATTGTCTAGAAGAATCAGCATTAATGAAAAAACCATCACAAAGGCACCTTCGGGCATTGATGGCTCTTCCCAAAAGATGAATAATACACAGAAAAAGACAACAAGAGAAATTACTTTTAGAAATATATTCATCAATATATTTCCTTTTTTTTATTTTTAGCTCCATATGAAGCCTGCAATCCTATAACGAGCTATAAGCTAAGACTACTCAAAAAAATCAAATACGTTTGAGTTGTTTAATACCACTCAAAATAAACAGCAAGGTCAGAATGTTTGCAAAACTAGGGATCATTCTTTTGTGTAGTTTTAAAAAAATAATTTATTTACAGTGGTTAAACTCCAAATCATCTGAGGTTTATATCTTATTTAGCTATGCATCAGCAAACACCAACTGAGTGTCCTCGCAGTTATACCACAGTGGCTTAGACTTATCTGATCAAATTTCCAGGATCTATACAGGTTATGATTTAAAATATTCCATAAGAATAATTATCTTTTGCAGTTTGCCTGAAACTGAAACTACTGAGTATGTTGAAAAATAGTGCAAATATTAACCTGGAGATGAAGATTTTGAATTCCATTAAACTCTCAGATAAATCAGGAAAAAATGCATGCAGTTATTCACATAGACTTTTTACATGTACAAACACCAGTTGTAATTTTCACTGATGGTGAAAAGTATCAGAAAATAGACTTAGGAACAGATATTTATTGATTGGAATGAGTAAAATTCAACTGTACTACCTTATTTATCCTAGCCGATCTATTAATGTAACAACAACTAGAATGTTAAAAAGCAGTCCAAATCCTTTACCTCTGTGCTGGGAATAACAAAGCTGGGAAACAGGACACAGACTTTATACTACCTGGAACAAGTAAGTTCCCCAGAATTTTAATTAAAAATCACAGATTTATTTCATAAAGAACACTAAACAACCTTCATTCATTATTAAGTAGAAACTGGATTTTAAACACTGCATAACCTCCCATTTTAAGACACCGAAGATAGCGAGACCACAATCTGCTTCACATTCTCTGGGAAGACTGAAGTGCCAGAGAAAAGGCAAATTGGATCAATACCAGATTTAAATGTTCACCACTAAGATTTTAAATTTGGTACCTTCTAATTCACAACTCCTAGCAAAGGGGAATGCACAAATACAGAACTCTACACAAAATCAGTTATAGTCACAGTCATGTAGTCAAACCCCCAAAAATGTGATTCAGATTACTCTGAAGTTGACTTTTACACTTCAATTCAGTTCTGCATATATAGCTAATACGCTGTAAACTATCCAAGATATCTGTAAACTGCCAGCAGATTTGACTCCAGACTCTCCCCCCTCCAAAGCAACTGCAGATCACACAGGAAACTATGGAGCAACTCGCATAGCACACAAAATACTGCTACTATGTGCATTAAAACAAAAAATCCAAGGTATTAAAATCCAGGTGAAAAGAATGATGGTTTGGAGGAAAGTGTCAACATATTTTTTGCATCATCAAGCTAAGAACAGTTCTTCTCCAAAACCCAAGTCAGGTCTTTCAGTTCTACATTAGTAAAACTATTTTTGATTTCCCAGTTTGCAACCCTAGAAATTTAGTTTTTACGTTACACAAGTGTATGACAGACTATTGTGAAGTCACTTATTTGGACATCCTGATTATCTTTAAGTTTGCTTTGATCAAAACTTGCAGTATATTTATTTCAAGTCTTTCCTATCATTCTCACTTCAAATACACATCCCACGGCTTTCAATCACCATTTGGATGTGTTTCCCACAAAGCTGCTGAACAGATACTGCAGCATTCCTGTAAATGCACAGGGCAGCCAAGCCAGTTTCCATCAAGTCTGAAGGAATTTTCAAGCAGCTGAATAAACTAGTTTCAACTAGAAATTACTTATCTTGCACATGCCTACAAAGCAAAGTTTAATCATGTTATACCACTTAGAAATTTCTCACTTCATGCAATGAATCTGACATGAAGGCCCTATTTCGGGGAGTGAATTAAGCTGTTTCTAACTGAACCAGTTTAAGCAAAATGTTTCAGAATAGATATATACCTGGCCGGTAAAGACAGAACAACTGCAATTTCAGCCTGTACCTGTATTAGCATGATTTTAGTGAATGGCCTCACAGTACTGACAGCAGTCGCCATCCAGAAACAGTCAATACTAAAAGATGTTTCAATGAGGCTGGATCTTTGTACAGTCAGGCCAGACACCACAAATCACCCCAGCGCTAAAACAACTGAGATGCAAAACTGTACCAGGACTGGATTCAAACTACTCTAATTGAAAAAGTACTTTCCACACATGTAGACTATTAAGGGAATTTCTACATAAACATGTTGTTATCTTAAAAGAGCTCCAGAGAAATAGGTATTTCTTATAACCTTAATTTTTGCTAGTGCAGAACAAGACTCAAATTATGAGCATATCAGAATGTGTTTATGTAATACCAAGCAAAAAAATAAATTAATAAATCTCTGAAGACAAAGATGAGACTATTTGACTTAAATACAACATACAGTATCTCTGATACATAATATTTCTATCCTGCTAGTTTCATCCCCACCATATTCATAGGTTTAGTGAATGAAGATAAAGCCAGAAGAAATCTCAAAAGCTTTTTTTTTTTAATTGTATTCAGATGTTTAATAGTTTTCACGACCAAATTCAATAGCCACTACTTTTATTTTTTTTATTTGAAGCTTCTGCTAAACATTAAAAGTCTCAAGTGATTTTTAATACTGATTGGAGCTTTCTACTCCATTAGCAAATGACTCCATTAGCAAAACACTGAACACATTTCACTATCTTTAAAGCTTCCACCACTGCAATCAATGCATTGCTCATCACCACCAAGACTGAAACAGTTGTTTATCTGTATCTAAATCAATAGTGTTCTCATCCACATGTAAAAAGACATCCAAACTCAAAGGAATGCCTTTTGCCATATTCTTTGCCGTTATAAATTCAGGCAATTTATTAGTTAGTAACACAGACAATATTTCAAAAAAATATACTTTACATAAAATTTTGATTTTTAAAAAATGAATTCATTCTCTTGATACTTCAAAGCGGATTCTTAAACCCAGGGTGGTGCATTTATTTGCATTAACCTGAAGCAGCACTCACAATCATAACAGAGAATAGAAAAAAGGCATCTGAAGCTAAGAGAAAAGGAAAGAGTTCACTGCTCAAACTCCCTGAGACTTATTGCTATGCAGGAAACAGAACATACTGTGTTTTCTTTCTATTCCCTGAGGCTTAGGTAGGTTTGATATTTTGTAGCACAGTTTTTACATGTTCACATTTCCAGTGCTGGTCTGATCTGTATTTCCTTATTTGCAAAGTTAATCACTTCTGGGAAAAGAAAAGGATTATATAGAAGGGAAAGGTACTTCTTTGGGGGTGTGAGGGATGACAGATAAGTGCAATTTAAGATTCTCAGATAATTTTCTATTCAAGTCACACTTGTGACATTTAGGAATTAGTGGCATCTTACTGGGTGAGGTCTAAAATCACACAGCCTTCATCCTGCTTCAGACAGTAAGCACGAGTAGATATTAAGACACGTGGACAGAAAAAAGGTAGTAATGGTAGATTACAGCAATGAGCAGCTAAGAGAATTCCTAAAAAAAAAAAAAGACTGCATCTGGACTATCCATGATCAGTCAGACTTCCATGAATTTAATTTTTACTTCATTAAACCTATTTGTTGTTTCGGATGCCAGAACATTTTATAATGAGTTTCTATAATTGGAGCATATACTGCATATATAAGCTTCAATTATAGATATATAGACATAGATAGATAGATAGATAGATAGATAGATAGATAGATAGATAGATGCAGATACACAGAAGTGAACTATCTCCCACACTTCATTTAGAAAACCTCTTCTAACTTTTCATTTTTCCCAAGAAGCTGTCCTAAATTCTCCTCATCAGTTCTATAACCCCTCTGTACCTACCATTACCTGAACTCACAGAATTGTCTAGGTTGGAAAAGACCTTGAAGATCATCCAGTCCAACCATTAACCTAACACTGACCGTTCTCAACTACACCATATCCCTCAGCTCTACGTCAACCCGTCTCTTGAACAGCTCCAGGGATGGGGACTCCACCACTGCACTGGGCAGCCCATTCCAACACCCAACAACCTGTTCTGTAAAACTATTACAGTATCTACTTTACACTGAATTCAAAACTGCAAGACTGGATACACGTATATCTCACATACACAGTTTAAGAATACAAGATACTATGCAGAGTTGCTATAACCCCTTTACAGTCCAAATATGCTTGAGGAATAG